ATGATTTAGCGTTCGTCTTGGTAGCACGACGATTGCACCCGAGGAGCAAGCAAATCCATAAGCATGACCTTTTGGAGATCCGCTCGGATTTCTTGATTCCGTGTGTCGACGTTGTGCCCCACTGGCGTCGCCTCGCGGCCAAGGGGTACGTTGGAAGCCCGCCGACAGTTGCCATGACAAGACCTCCCTCGGGCCTTGCAGACCCGCACCGAGATGGATTGGGTTCGCCGCGTCGCTGGCCAAAGTGCCCGTTGGTGGAGTCGCCGTCAGGAGGGGCGTGCAGCATTAGGGTCCAGCGCCGCCCCAGGAAATTCGTGCGACAATCAGGAAGTGTTTGGAACAGTTGTGTTTTAGCCATGCCCCAAGCAGTTCTTGCATTTGGGGGCCCTGACTCGTCTTCTACGGAACTGGGCCCGTCTGCGGCCCAAGCGGCCCCGCTCCCGTCTGCTGCCCCAACGCCCCCCCTTCCCGCCCGTCGCTGCCGCCCCGTTGCCTCCCCCGTTGCATTGCAATCGCATTACGTTGCGTTGCAATAGTATTGCATTATTTTGTTCGTTCTGCATTGCATGGTTTTGTATAGCATTGCGTTGGGTAGAGTTGTATTTCTTTGTAGTGTTTTGCATTGTGTTGCATTCGGTTGTATCGCTCTGCATCGCGTTACACTGGTTTGCATTGTTCTACATTGCTTTTCGCCACACGCATGGCACCACATGTATTGCGCCCTCTAGACTCACCACGTAGATTGAACCATCCAGATTGCATCGCATACACTGCAAGAAATCATTGTTTGGAGCCCACGCTGGCCAACAGTCTAGCCACGGTCTGAATCGCAACAGGAGGGTTCTTGACATGTCACGTATCCCCCCCCCCAGCCCACCCAGGAGTTATCGACCTTCACTTCTCGACCTTCACTCCCACTGTCGACATTCACATCTCACCACCTCCCGCTCCAGCTATCGACCTGCACCGCCAACATTCTGACCTCCACCTTTCAGCCGCATTTGACGTTCGCCCTTTACCTCGACCACAAGCTCCCACCATCAGACACTCGGCGTCCAACTCCAGCTACCGATTTCTGCCACCCTCCACTTCCAGCTCCAGCTGTCTACCTCCACCTTCGAAGTTCTGATTTCTTTCAGCGACCAGCAGCAGCTCACTGTCACAGCATACCTCCACCTATCGACCTCCACCTTCCACCAACTGACCCCTAGCGTATACCTCCAACTATCGACTTCCACCTCTCACCACCTCCAGCTCCAGCTGTCGACCTCCACCTTCAAAACTCCGATCTCCAGCGTCACGCTGCATCAGACTTCGTTGCACTATCGGCCAGCCCATCCAGTCACCTCCGAGGAATCACACTACCAGCACCAACGAACGACAACACCACCAGAACACCCCACGCAGCACTGGAAGAGGAGAGGGAAAGCATTACACAGCCGATGGCGACGACCCCAGCAGCACGCACTGCATTCTCTTAAGAGAAAACGACGGGGCAACAGGAACGAACACGACCAGCAACATCCAGTATCACATCCATCGTCACCCCACGCTTTGATTCTTATCCATGATCATGTGCGAATATCTACAGACGAATTGCTACACACATTAAGCGACGTACATGCGGATGCACTTTGTATGAACGAGACTTCGGGAACATAATCCAATGAGATGGGGCTCGCACACACTTGGAAACATTTACTAGCATCATCCGGCCATATGGACATGTCACATGGCGTTGCATTTTTCGTTCATCGGCTACACGTCCAGCATGTCAAACGCTTGGGGGCCATCAACGAGCGAATCACTTGCATCGACATCGGCATCCCAGAACATAACATTGAAGTCGTGATGGCCTATTCCCCTCACTCCAGGGTCGCGGACACCCACACACAGCAGACGTACGACCATTTTGATGCGTGCCACGTCGACGCCATCCAATCCAACAGGATATGCATCATGAAAGTGGATTTGAATACACAAGTTGGTACGCACCCCGTCAAGAATGACAGTGGTGACGGCGACGACGAGCGGACATACAGCAGGCATGGTCGGATTGGGTTCGTTCAGCCCACGGGGGACATGGCTCGGCGATTGGTCAAGTCCACGAAAGTTGGTCATCGCGAACACGTTCCTTTACAAACATTGCCACGACACGGTCATGTATCTGAGCAGCGGCAAACAACCGACCAATGCACAAGTTGTTTATGTCTGGATAGGCAGAGCACGTCGCAACCAACGGCAGAGCGAGTTGAGACAATGGCAGTTGGCCTTCGTCACCAGGGGTTGCCGCAGCTCGGACAATTTAGTGCGTTTGGACCCTGAGTGGCGTCAAGGGAATGATCTTGAGTTGCATGTGGCCCAACTGGACAGAATCGAATACCACAACATTCCGTATACAGAATGTCTATGATTTCAACGCGTATGTCTTGGGATCGGCGCTGGGCCCTCCTGGCGGCGCCTCCGCCGCCGCCCCTGGCGCGCTCCGCGCGACGTGGAGGGCATCCAGCGCTGATCCGTGAAGTATGCGCGGACCTCCTTGAGATTATGTTTATGCCGTTTTCTGTCACTCCAGAAGTTCCAGGTTACGTTTCCAGAGTGTTCCGAGCCTTTGAGGTCATCCCGTGGTCCTGGACAATTGGTTTGTTTTTTGCGGTCCGTCGCTGGACCTCCAGAGCCCCACGCCTTCCGCACGGGAGGAATAGGTAGGAGGACATGGAGAACTAGGGAGGAGATGGAGGAGGAGCAGGGCAACAAGAGGAGGAGAGGAGGGAAGAGAAGGCCGGTGTGAGTGATGTATGACGGTTGCGGTGAAGATGCCGCTCGTGATGACGACGCCGATGATGATGTCGTTCATGATGACGATGATGGTGAGGAGGATAGGGACATTTGGGAACGGTGAGGTGGATGGGACTGGGAGGAGATAGGGGGAGGAATGCAGAAGGGACGAGGTGGGTGTGAAGAGGCAGGATATACGACGGGAGGAGGGACAGGGGATCGAGGAGGAGTAAGTACGGATGCGGAAGAGAAGAATCATCAGGAGGAGGAAGACGATTTCGAATTGAGCCTCACCAGGGCAGCGCTTTTCCGATACGTAGGTTGTAGTTACATTTAGGCGGCGTAGTACGCGATGCGGTTCTAGTCCGTGCGGAGTCTGGGCGCGAAGCCTAGTCACAGACCGGCCCGCATATGCGCGTTTCGCGCAGACCAGCTTGGCAGGCGTTCAAGACCGCAGCGGTTCGGTTTCTCGACGCGCCTCTGTATGAATCGTTTCCCTCCCTCCTCTCTCTCCCTCGCTGTCTCGCTGGTTCTCTCTCCGCCCCCACTCTCTCCCTCTCCCTCTTTCTCGCTCGCGTATGTCTCGCTCCCCCTCGCCATCAGTTTGTTAGTCTATTCTTCTCCCTCCCTCGTGTACGGTAGGTTCGCGCGGCCTTGGCGCGCTGGCGACGCTGGCGAAGGCGTTCAAGGTTGAATTCTGCGACGCGGAGGCACTGAGGGACACGATAGCGCCATTGGACCCGACGGAATTCGACCTTGAGCGATCGGGGCCGCGATCGATTCAAGGTCGAACCATCGACGCGGCGCCAAAGAACTTTGCGCGCGCCGGCGCCGTGCGAACCTACCGCATGTCTCTCAATATCAAGCAGTGGCGAAGCGTCCTAGCTCCCATACCAGAGAATGTTCTAAGAACCTTTTGTGGTCTGTACGAGATGTTATCAGAACATTTTTGGCTGAGATTGTCTTGTTTTATCACATCGGGTCTATGTTCTAAGAGAACTTGTTCTTGTTACAAGAACAGTTCTGGGTTCTAAGAACATATCGTGGTAGGCTCATAGGAATGCCGGGACGGTCGGTCCCTGCTCAACAATCGCTACACCCCGCTGTGCCTCCCAAGGTCTGCCGAGGCCCCCGAGTTCCTCCCTCGCGCGCCCCGCGTTTGCACCGCGGGCACCGCCGCCATGCCCCCCCGTTTTTTCGTTCAGGAGGGAGAACGAACACACAGACACAATGAATCGTCCATCCCCAGGAAATTATAGGGAAATATGGGAAGCGTGGGGGGATAGGGGGAGTCCTGGATTTTTGTGCGTATTTCTCTGTGTGTTCTTGGGCCCCTTCTCCTGTGGGGGGGCGAGGGGCGGGGAGGGGCGCAAAGGCCGAGGCGAATGGGACGGGATCTGGGCGCGGGGGCCCGGCACCGGTGGAGGAGGAGGAGGAGGAGGAGGAGGAGGAGGAGGAGGAGAAGAAGAGAGAGGATGAGGAGGAGGAGAGAGGAGGAGGAGGAGGAGGAGGAGGAGGAGGAGGAGGAGGAGGAGGAGGAGGAGGAGGCAGAGGAGAAGGAGGAGGAGGAGGAGGAATGGAGGAATGGAGGAATGGAGGAATGGAGGAATGGAGGAATGGAGGAGGAGGAGGAGGAGGAGGAAGAGGGGCGCAAAGGCAGAGGCGAACGGGACGGGATCTGGGCTTAAGTCGGGCATGTTCCTCTGCAGGGGGAATGTCCAGAAATTGTCAAACATTAGTCTGGGGACGATTTTTCTATTTGTTTTGACGACTTTGTGGTATTGTTGGGGTCTTTTTTTCCATTTTTCGCTCCAAATCCGCGTGTAGGGGGTGGGTAGGTTGTATCTGTTCTTTTTCCATCAAAATTTTGTTTTCGAGGATAGCGTGTTGCCTCTTCGGGCTTACCCCCATGCCCTCTACGTGTGACTTCCCCTGAACTCTTGCCAGTCCGCAAAATAAAAACGAATCGGCGAAGGAGAGGAACAGGAGGTGGAGGGGGAGGAGTAACAGCGGAGCGTGAGATGTTTGATATTTCAATCGGATACACACAAGAACGGCAGGGCTAGGATGGCAAAACAGCAGAGCAAGGCATAAGCAGTGCATTCACATTCGCATGGTGCATTCGATTTTGTTGGACAATCGGTTTGCATCTTGTGTGTGTGCCACCGCCACGACTGCACCTTGCGCGCGTGCGGTTTGGCGGCGCCCGCGGCTGCTGCTGCAGCCGCTTCGGGCCCAAGTGCTCTGGATATCGGATCGCCATCTCAAGTCTCACGACCTACTGTTGCCTGGCCTGGGCCCCAGCCGTAACTGCCGCGAGGAAGGAAGAGGAGGAGGAGGAATAGGAGAAGGAGGAGGAGGAGGAGGAGGAGAAGGCAGAGGAGGGAGGAGGATAATGATGAGGAGGGAAGATGATGATGATGAGGAGGAGGAGGAGGAGGAGGAGGTGGAGAAGGACATCGCAAAGAAGGAATGGAAGGACGGTCATAGTGCGAAAAGCAATCCACCAACTTCGGGGGCGGGTCCACGGACGTATCCCCTTCCAGTTCCCTCAATCGTGATGCTCCTGTTCCTCCTTCCCCCAAGACGGTCCCAATATGCCTCCCAGACGTCCGAGATCATCTCCAGCGAGCCCGAGATGGCCCGAGATGGGCCCAAGAAGGTACAACATGGCCTCAAGATGGCCCAAGGAGCCGCCAAGACGTCCCATGAGAGCTCCAAGAGGCCCCCCCAGGCCCGAAGGAGGCAACAAGTATGTATGTCCTGAGGTTTTCGAAGGATTTGGGCATTTGCTTCAGAACGGTCCTCCGACGGCCCAAGACGGCCCAAGAGGCCCCTAAGATTGCCCCAATATCGCCCAAGAGGCCTCCAAGATGGCCCGAACATGTGAGTTTCAAGAGCTTCGAAGGGTTCCGTAGGTCGGCAAGTTCAGTTGATTCCGTAACCATTTGGGCCCGAGAGGTTTCGGCACCATGGCATCGCAGCCCCGCGCTTGATTGAGGCTCTGTCCCCGAACGTTTCTGCGTGCAGGGGAGTGTTTTGCGACGATAATTTGGGGGCTCTCGTTGGACATCTGGCGATGCTGCAACCGCAAATGGACCCTCTCATTGAAGACCTGGTTCAAGCTGCAACGGTGAAAGGAATTGGATCACGGATTTCCCAGAACGGTTCGATCACGGATGCAGATGCGACAAACCTTATACTCGGGGCATTCGTGTCTAACGCAGAAGAGCAGGCCCTCGCACGACATGCGACTGCGGCTCGAGTCCGAGCCGCTGTGAAAGAAGGCATCGACGCTGGGAGGATTGCCAGTGTTCGTGCCAACGCTTTCTCTGTTCATGGGTTGCCTTACGCACTGTCGGTGTTGTGCGAAGTTGACTTCAAAGTGAGACACCTCGAACGTCTCCTACGCAAGATTTTGCCATGCAAGCGGGCTTCTCTTTCCAATGCCTCGCAACTGTCGGCGCTGCCGCTGCCGCCGCCTGATCGGCCCCAGCGTGGAGGACAAAACTGCGACATCGTGGTATCAGATTTTTGTTGTTAGCCCGTACGATCCGCACCAGAAATCTGAGTTGCAGTTGATGTGCGCACGCAAGGACTATCAGATTGCAGACATGCAGGCGAAGGTTGACGTCGCCTTGCAAGACCGCAACTACGTTGCGGCAAAATCAGAGCGGCTGCTGGGCACGACCACGAAGATGAAACAACGAGGTGCATGACTATCATCGCCAAGTCAACTGGAGGCCTGCAGGTGGATGGGTTTCGCCGATGGGTGGGCCTTCGCTGGCGGTTCGTCGGAACATTGGCCATGCTGGGGCCGCCGCCGCCATCGCTATGATGGCAGGCGGTGCGGTCAGGGGCTGTATTTCCGATAAGGGCGTTGTTATTCGATTCGGGCACCGCGCGGCAGCAGCAAAAGTGTTTCGGTCACACATGTTCTACAACGAACGCAGTGGGCTCGGCGTCCGCATACATCGACTGAAATGCGACGCCACTAACGAGGATTCAGTTGACAAGAAAAAGGCCCACGTCTCAATGATTGCGACGGCCGCGGCCGACCTGCCATCGGATGACGTGGACTATGGCGAGAGCGGTTTCGATGCAGGTTCGTTTGCCAGGGAAATCCTTTCTACGAGCAATGCTGGTGCGTTGCAGCATGTCGTCACTGGGAAGGCAGTTGAAACGATTGAGCTTGCGAAGCAAGAGCTTCGATCTGCGGGCTGCCCTACTTGGGAAGATGAGTGTCGCAATAGTGTTGGTGGAACCGCCAATGGAATTTCAGTCAGCCTACGTATTTGGAACCGACGCTGGATCAGACGAGAAGAGCATGGTTGGCCAGGTTGTTTGTGTGCTGGAGCCTTTCGATACGATCATGTGCATCGGTGTGTTCTGCCTGTTCCACTCCTCGCGCAACCTGGTGAAGAATGTGATCAGCGCCTTAGATCGATTTGAATGGCCAGGCCGTTTCAATTTAACTCAGAAGTACGTCGGCATGGTCGCGGCCATCGTGAACGTATGGAGAGCAACTGGAGCCCCGAAGAAAATCCACGCCGCTGCGACGAAGAGATGCGGGGCCCACGTCTGCTTTGTACACTTCAAGAAAATGCCTGGGCGAGTGCTTCGGGGGCGATGGGGCAGCATCGACAGTGTAGAAGTTCGATTAGTGGACGCTTGGACGTACCTATCAGATGTGTTTCGGTTGGCATTCCCAGATGTTGCGCAGGTCTTGCCCCCAGAGCACGCGCCCCCAATCGAAGGCCCTCCGCGCAGGAAAAGTAAACGCTTGAAACAGAAGACAGCTGCCGAAGAAGAGGCGGACCAATCTGACGAGCAGATCCGCAATTACAGGCTCAATGCTGTGAGGGCAGCGTCGAGCTGCGCCTTTCAAGCAATGACCATGGTCAGCAAAGTAGCCAAGGGTCCGATTATGGCGTTCTTCCATTCACTGAAAAAGCCATCAAGGAATTCAACCAACACTCAGAGAAGGCCATGGAGAGTGGATCGTTTTACCTTGGCCCTACGCCGTTGTCGAAGTTCGCGTGCCACGCCTGCAGCAGCACCAAACATGATCTTGCTGCACTTTTCGAGGATCCAGCTCTGCGTGACCCTGACCGTTGGCGACCTCTTTTGGACCTGATTGGCACTCCCCCAGAAGGCGACAGGGAGCTCTTCTCGGAGACGGCGCCCAGGCTAGCTGTCTCCACTACCCTGGCAGCTGCAGCTAGCTGGGAGAAGCGCAAGGCGAGCATTGTCACGTCCTTCCCTTTACGGTTGCTGTGGTTCTTGGAGACCCCGCCTAGTAATGAAGACCCACTCCGAGCCGCAATTGCAGCAATGCTCCTGAACTGGACCGACGGCGACCTGAAAGATATATACAGCGATATTTCCATCAAACTCAGACGTGTTTTCGCTGCTGAATTTCGTTATATGCGTGACAATGCGGGCAAGTGTCCACGTCGGTTGTTTGCATTCTTGTTAACGCTGAGGGCAATGCTACCATCGGAGGCCCAGGGCATTGAAGGAACCAACTCGGTCCTTCAGACCATCGTGCAGCACAGCCCGTTTATCCAATTACCTTTGGTCTCTGCCCGCGTCTGCCTTAAGATTGGAGCACCGATGACGCCAGAGGAGTGCGTTGACGTCCACCAGCATGTCTTGCGGTACATCAGACGAATGGGTCAACAGGCGAGCGGCGTCTTGATAGCTTCTGGGGAACTCTCTCCTTCCTCCTCCTGCTCCTCCTGCTGCTGATGCTCCCCCTCCTCCTCCTCCTCCTCCTCCTCCTTCTCCCCCATCGCCCTGCTGCCTCCGCCCCCCCCCTTCGCCCCCCCCCTCCCCCCCACACACACACACACACACACACACACGCACACACACACACACACACACACACACGCGCACACGCACACGCACACGCACACACACGCACACACACGCGCACACACACACACACACGCACACACCCCCCACCCCCGCTTCGCAACCAACTTTCGCCCACCCCAGCCCCGAACGGCCCCGCGCCAAGCTGGCAGCATCGTAGGGGGGGTGGACAGATTGCAGGGGGGATTGGGCTGGAGCTGCAGAGGGCTGGGGACGACAACGAGGGGGGCGAAGACGGCCGACGGTAGGATGTGCACAAGAACGGGGGATCGGAAGGAGATGAGGTTCAGGATGGCGAGGCGGGGGAGAGCGGAGGGCGTGGGGGGCAGTGGCCGAACAACTCAAGAGCAACAACGTGAATGCGAAATGAAGGGGGGGTATTTTTTCCCAGGGGCTATCCAGACGTTCCGCTCTCGCAAGGCATGCACCTTTGGCAGATGATGGGTTCGGGGCCAAAGCCCCGCTGGGGGGCGTGGGCGGCCCCCCAGTAGCCCCCTGCCCCTCCGCCTCTGGAGCCGCCTGCTCCCCGCGGAGGCCCTGGCGAGGATCGACCAGTCGAGGCGCCTAGGCAGGCACTTGGATTGAATGTAAAAGCGTCTGCCAATGGCTTCAACGCTCTGCTGGGCGACGAAGCGTGCAATGCTTGGAGTGTAGAAGCGCCTGGTGGCGCCAACGCCCAGAGGCGGGCGTTTGTTTCCACGTGGTCTTACTATCATGCGATTTGGCTTGGCACTGGATGTCTCCACGTGGTCAGTGGTGTAACGTACTTCACATTCGACGCGCCTTTATGCGTGATGCCTCTTCCAGAAGTTCTGGCAGCTGCTGACCCTCGCCCGCCTCCATTGCCAGCTGCGTTGCCAATAGTTGTTGTGTATCGCGGTTGCCAATAGTTGTTGCTGAAATGGTCGTCGCTAAGCCGTGCAACATATATTGATGAGGAGCCCGTGAGCGTCAAATCTGCCAGGAGGAGATCCGATAAGAACGATGGGGGCGACCGAGTAGATGATGACTGGTTGAGGGGCCTGCTGGAAGAGTACATGTGTGAGGACATGCATTGAGATGAGCACGACGGAGACCCAGCGCCTGAAGATGATCTCGGCGTCGGCGCCTCAGATGACGCAGCCGACGATGCACCTGAAGAGATTGACTGCCCAGACGATGATGACTACCGCCCCCCTGATGATGACGCCGATGGCGACGGGCGCGATGTTGTGCCACCGCCTGCCCCCGCTGGCGGGTTGGACCTCAGCGCGTGCACGGACGCGCTTGACGCGCATCTGACTGGTGTCATTGCTACCAACCGCGGCATCATCCATGACGCGCTCACAGCGACATCGGAGAAGGATGCCCCGATGAGATTCGAGGAGCTCTCGCTTCTGGTCCATACTCATGCGCCAGATGCTCATGGTGT